CCTAACCTGAAGCTAATCTAAACGATCTAATTTCCCCCGGAAGGGTTAAGGGTCCTTGGTCGGCACCCATAAAGGTTCACTCAGCGGGGCAAGTGAAGGCTATCAAGTGTACAGCCTCTCACCAGAGACTTTAGACCTATAGAACCTAACCTAACCTAGTGATCTCTGGCCATGTCATAGTTAAAATTCACAGTTTTTGTAAGCTGTGTGTCAACGTTCACTATGACAAGGTACTGTAAGTGTTCACAGTTGCGGGGTTCAAATATAAGCGTAAACAACGACGAGGTTCATATAAAAACGTAGACAATGACTGGGTTCCATATATAAAAGTTCACAAAATAAAAATAATCCACTACCTCTTCTTTCCCACATACACATATAGACGATTTGTGTGTGTGTGTGTGTGTGTGTGTGTGTATGTGTTACGAGTCTCGCCTGCAGGATGTTCTACGCTGCAGCAGTCAGAATCGTCCAGAGAGATCACTACAGTCTCTCTCCCTTTATTTACTGTCATTCATTCACTCTCACTGCCGCAACAGATGTGTTTTTTGCTGCAGTGTTCCTCTTCCGCAACTTGGTGTCAAGGTATCTACTGCGACGATTAATAGAGAGTAAATCCTGTTATTACACAAGTGAATATTGTTAAGGTGTAAATATCCTGAATTTGGAATATATGTTTTTTTGGGGGGGGGGGCCGAGCTTTGGTATATACTCGCACTTTTTGTATTAGTTGGACAGAATCTCATCACACCTAACCTGATTTTAAACACTGAGTCGATGATATTTAGTACACGATAATTTTAGTAGTTGGATCCATCTTTTTGGAAATCATTTGGTCTATGGTCGTGTGTTGCTACCAGAACCACAATATATATATTAAATCCACTGTAGCCCCCAAGATATATGCCACAAATAACAGTACACTAACAACAAAGACAGATGGAACACTACCCTTAGCGTTATACACAACACAATACTCACCCAGGTAGTAAAGTTGCTCCTCTTCAATATCTTGCTAACAGACAACCGGCAGTTAAGTTATATTCTTCAGATAGGTAAGAGCTTATAACATTCACAGCGCATGACAGTTTTGTAAAAGACCGCCTCGCAATATAGTATCGACCGTGTGACTTAACTGGAGGGCGACGGGAGAGGTGTATATATAGAGAGGAGGAGTCGGGGCTGCCAGAGGTCCCTGGACGCTGCGCACTAGGATGCTATAAGCCACAGCAGCCGTCAGTCACGTGAACACAGGATGGAGCTTCACTACTTTAACACGCCCACCACCTTACCATTTTACTCCTTATGCAACAGTGTGCGGGCTGACCATGTATCATGTATTTCTACAGTATTTTGGATGGCATGATAAGGGTTGAGATTTCGCGGAAATCAGGAAAAACAATAGAAAAATGGTTGTTCTAACATAAAAACCATTTTTTCAGTTTACCTGGTACTAGACGTCAAATTTTGGGTGTGTGAAGTCCTGCAAACCTGAAGTAACAGCCGAGGGTGGCTGCCTGTGGCGTGGTGGTGGAGCCTCAAGCTGTGTCACGGGTAAAGGTGTCCTCTTGTACAGTTCAGAAGCCAGCATACAAACAGCTGACGATACTATCTGGCAGCCCAGGATAATATTAACCACCATTCTTTTCTTCTATTCATGTTTTCCCTTTGGCAGGATCAACTGTTGTGGTCTTGGATATTATGATGTATTACAGCACTCCAACAACTAGGGTCTTTAAGGCCGTAGTCTTATTACATACAGTACACTATATAGCCATCAGTAATTACAAATAGCGAGATAGATACGCCTCTGATGTTAATCACGATGGCCAGCAAGAAAATGGCTAACGTAATTGCAGTCGTTCGTGTTTATGTATCAGTTCATAATGTAAGTGACGAGTTGTTAATGTAAATGTATTACTTTCCTTGTGGTCAATAAAGTCCAGAATCAAATGGTAATAAGTTAACTACAAAATCTTTTGACCTTTTCTAAATATCCATAAACACGACAACTGTTTTACAAAATGAAAAGGATTTCTTATGAAACACAGAGTCGTGCCTGTGGTACTGTACACCAATACCCAGCGGTGAATGGCTACCTGACACTACTGTTGGGGAAGGTGAAGGCGGTTGAGTGCAATGCCGGCCGTGCTGCCTCCTTGTGTATCGGAATTTTTTTTAATCTACATTGTGCAGTACCGTAACATCTCCACAGATCAGCTTTAGATTGTTCGCAAAAAAAAAAATTACCAAATGAAGTTTTCATTGAAATACTGAATTATTTTGTCCATAAGATCCGGTGTTGTCCTATGTATAATGTATGTGTTTGAGTTCTGGTGCCCGACACGTCAGTGTTTCCTGTAACCTTGATCACTGTATCTTAGAGCACATGCAACAACCATCTTAAAGCACATGCAACAACCATCATAAAGCACATGCAATAACCGTGCAACACTACCACCACCGCACCTCAGTCACTCGGCCTTCCGCTTACTCATAAGGTCTTCTAAGTACAGTGTTCTTACCCCGTAGAGCATGACGTCTTCCTTTTAGAGTTTATAAATGGGTTGGCCTGACGTGGCAACACTTCTGTGCCTATGTTTACATCTTTAGCGGGATGGAGCACTCCAACCAATATATCACAAACACCTGTATTTTATAATGTTAATGGGAACAAATTACAAAAAAATGCATATATAAGGTAAGTTTGATTGAGTACAGAGGGCGAAGCTTAAGTATCCTGACCTGAAGATTTATTTTTCTTTACACAGGTTTTCCGTAATCACCTGCTTCGACCTGCATGACTCTGTACATGTCTCCTCCCGTTGGTCTTCCCCTCCCCCTCTCCCTCTTCCGGCCTTCGTGAAAATACCTTCTGACTTCACTAACCAGATAATTCCAAAAGTTTATCCTTAACTTCATAGAAAATACGGAGCTGTGTCATCTGTCTCAACACCTCCGATGAGACCGAGAGAACCATTACAAGGTGGTCAGCTGCAAACTCACACAAGGTCTTTACAGTGTTTTAAATGTTCCCATCATAAAGAAAAGGTGGGTGAATGTTGATCCTGTACAGCCTCATTGCCAGGTAGAAAGGAACGCCAGGCTCTGATGAAAGTTTGTGTTGCCGCAGCGTTATGTCACGACCTATAGTTGTTGGTAACCGCTGTAATGAAATTCTGTCCCTCATCCACAACATGTTTACAATGAGGCTCCACCTCCTCTACTGCGTCACAACATTCCACCAGGCAATATCCCACTGGACGAATACTCTCCGGATGTTGTCTCGACGCAAGTTTTTCCTCCAAATAAAAATACGCAAATTTTCCGACGGATAAAGCGTCATTAATATAAGTTTCAGAATAAGGTTTTAGTACCCAGCAGGACTACGTGTCTTGGCTCACATCTCCCGACACCTGTCACTGTTGTTTATTTATTTTTATTTTTTATTATTATTTATTGGGCACTCCCCTACATCCTTATGCAAGGTGAAGCGCAGAAGCGTTTACAGTGCCCAACAGGGAAGCATGATCAGGTCACGCTTGCCTTTATGTCTCATGAGTTAAGGGCGGAGTACTATGAGCGACTCGGGTAAGGTGATCTTTAGGTTAAGTGAGATTACAAAATTCTTGACTGTCGTGTACGTGTTGTTACCTGTAATCACTTCACCTAACCTAACAGAAAGTGGTACATTTTTTTTCACATTTTGTGTTTCTAGGTGACAACCCCCACGTTAGATTCACGTTAGATTCACGACCCTCTTAATTCCTCATCTTGTGAGCTTGACGTCAGTAGATATTATCAAGAGTAGCGTCAAGTGAGGGTTCAGATGGGGTGTACTGAATGTCATGGACGTCTCATAGTTAAGAGTTTTCACTATATACCCGTTAATATATCTCCAGCCTTCAACTGAATTACATTATGAGGCGAATAAGACACACACACACACACACACACACACACCAGGTCAGACTTGAACCTACCCCCCCCTCCCCTTCCCACCAGCTCACTGCCCACATGGTCCAAATCTGATAGGTTAAGTTAAGTTAGGTAAGGTTCAGTTAGGTTAGCTTAACTTAGCTTAGGCTAGGTTTGATTAGATTAAGTTAGTTTAGGTTAGGTTAAGTTAGATAACTGATAGACTACAAACACTCTCCAATACCAATTGAATTATTAGTTTAGTATCAACTCGTAATCAGTTTATAATACCTTTTAGGTCACATAAGTTGACATTACTCATGGTGTAAGTTATGTTAATGTATGTATACGTGTGATGTATTTTGATGGCTCATATTATGGGTTATGAGTTGATATGATACTGGTGCGTGTGTGTGTGTGTGTCGATGGCTCATATTATGGGTTATGAGTTGATATGATACTGGTGCGTGTGTGTGTGTGTGTCGTAGTCAAGGAGTTAAATCATCGTAGTCAAGAGGTTAAGCCATCGTAGTCAAGGGGTTAAGCCATCGTAGTCAAGGGGTTAAGCCATCGTAGTCAAGGGGTTAAGCCATCGTAGTCAAGGGGTTAATGTTTTAGATTTGTATTCCGTTTTCTTGGGTCAAAGGTCGTCACGAAAGCATATTTTGACCGACGATAACCAACACTTACCACATTACTCTTTTACGTTCGTGTTACATGGATGAAACTTTTTAAATGAGGGGAAAATGCAACGTTAAAATACTGGATTCTTGAGTATCACCAGTACAATTTTATTTTAGAGTGAAAAGGAAAGTTTTTTCTGGTTGATAAGAGAAATGATTACGTAATTATTGCCAAGTGACAAGGAGTTGAGCCTATGGTGACGGCCTGTACCAGCAGACCATCACGGCACCACTCTAACACACCTTCCTCTCATAGACGTTATTAATAAACCTTCTATTGTTTTGCTACAAGTTATATTCCGTGAAAAACAAAACCAACATTGTAACATGCACTTTAGTCTCTATCTGTGGTATCAGTTACCATGGCAATGTTATCTCATAAGACCTCAGTAGCGATCTGGCCTTCCTCTGGTACACGTCCACATTGTTAAACAAGGGACCTGAACTGTTTGTTTGTTGTATGAAGAAGGAAATTAGTGCATCAGAGTCGTGTAATACCGTCGAAGAATATTTGTACGGGTAAGTGTGTCGGGAACTCGCTTAAGGAAGATCGGTCGGGTGTGATCCTGGGTGGTGAAGCGTCGTGCGAGGAGTTGAAGGTGACACACAATGTAACCTGGTGGGGTGAGCTCCGGTGTCTGGCTCCCCACCACGGGTTGTAAGTGTTGTGGGGGTGAACTATGAGAACAACTGGAATTCGCTCTGCCCCCAACCCGGCGCCCCGGACCAATGTGGGGGCTGGGGGCACTCCTGTGCCCCTGCCCAGGACCAAGTTTAACAACGTTACCGCTCCCCAGGAACCATCAACAGACCAACTTACCTCAACAACAGAAGAGCAACCTCGACTTCCTAATAAATACACCAGCGTAACACTTGAGATAATATCAGATCATTGCCTACCGCGGACTCAGTCGTCGGAGCAAGATGACACACGAGAAGTGCAGAAGTCTGGTGGTACACGAAGGAGCGGAGACGGTGAGCTAAAGTCGCCTGAGGTTCGTTCCTTACGTAATGCACTGTCTCCTGTAATTTCTCGATCAAGGCCTTTTGTCAGTCCCCCACCAAAGCCGCCGAGAACCTACAGTCACAAAGTGAGTCCTCTTCAGGAAACCACACACCACAGAATGGCGCCTCAGGTGCCCAAATCGAAGCCTCCACAACCACCCACTTGTCCCAAGCCTAATGTAATTCCACCCCGGCCAAAGCTAATGGATGTTCTGTATCGACCAAGTCCAACTCAGGCGGCGGCCTCTAGCCCAATGATAAGAGGTCGTCTTAATTCTAATCAAGTTTCCAATCAAACCCCGAAACCAGAATCACCATACGGCGGAAAACGTTCCTCTGGCCAAGCCAACATTACTACAACATCTCAGGCTCCAGCAGGATCGCCGTCGGTAAGTTCTCAGGTTTCCGGTGTTGCGCTCACTTCTCAGGCGGCAGCTGCAAGTACTCAGCCCTCACAGTCAAAAGTAGCAGACAGTAATAGAGGACTTAGTGCTGCACAACCTAAGAGTCGACACAGTGTTGTTGTTGTTCCTCCTCGGCCTACTGTAGCGCCCCCCAGTGCGCCTTCTTCAGCTCACTCACGTTCACATAGTCAGTCAATGATTTCTTCACGTCCTAATGCACGCCCAGCAATCCCTTCACGTCCAACTGATGCTCAGGTACCGGCGACCAATGGCAAGGACAGAAATTCCCGAACACAGCTCAATATAACCGGAGCCACGTCTAGGCCTCGGAGGACGTCCGCCTCCAGAGTGGTGGACGAAGGCCCCGTGTGTTCCCCAACAGAATTCCAGGACTACTGTACGGAAGTCTTCAAGCGCACCAAGACAGCCAAAGAACTCATGGCTAAACGACGCCATGTTCAGGTGAGAGTGTAGTTACTAAGAACAAAAATAATAACCATAAACAATTTAGCATATGTACAAAGTTAACTAAAGGCGTGTTTAAATCCTTACAGATATTAAATATATTTTTTTCTTTAAACACTTACATAACTGAATTAATCATTTCAGCGAGTAAAACTAATTAAGAAACAAGTGTCTTAAATAGAAATGGTGAATTTTAATTTTTGCCCGATTAAAAACTGACCTCAAGTATAGGTACAGTATTGAATAAACTACAACCGGGTCTGGAAATGTGAGACTCCGAGAGATGGTCGCCTGGTAAAATGTGGCCAACGGAGAAAGTAACTTTATTTTGTGCGTTGTGTCAGACGATTATGAAGCAGTCTGATTCCTTTTCGCTGTGTCAAACCTCTACCACCACAGACATGTTATTGTGACATCTCGACCATGTAGCAAGAGAAAGGTTTAGTTTTAATTAGTTTCAGGCATGTGGCTGCTGCCTTCACATCTGTTTTATGACACTATCGATATGTGGAAATTAATGTACAATTGCCTGCACTTATACCTGGTAAAGTGGCTGACGCGTTTTGTAAGATGTGGCAGATATGTGTTTGTTTACATCGTATTAAAACTCCCGGAATGGCCCTAAGGAAAGTCGTAATACAGTAGTAGCCAGAATAAGGATACTCGAGAAGCATTCCAAGGAGTTGTCACATCTCATAAAACGCGCCAGCCACTGTACCAGGTATAAGTGTAGGCGACTGTACCTATACTCTTTACCTGTACTTGATTTGTAGCTGTGGGTATGAAATGATGTCTTGGGACTCCTGCAGGCTGCAAGTGAGTACCAGGCGGCGCTGACGGCGATAGACAGGGTGTTGAGGGCCCAGGTACTGAGCCTCACCCACGATGAACACACCAGACAGAAGTTATTCCACTTGCAGCAGGAAGTGTTCCTCTCCAGGTGGGTGACCGCCAGCCCTCACACACACACACACACACACACACGCACACACACACACACACACACACACACACACACACACACACACACCATAAATGACGCCAAACTTCCCTTAACTTCGACCTCTCGGGATAGTTGTGTGTGTCGGCCTCTACAGAACACACAGCGTCCCTTGAAGTAAGTTGTTTTATTTCCTCCTGTGGTGGCTGTGGTATAACGGCGTGTGCTGAAGTTGCTTTGGTTTAACTATAATGAAATGTATTGTGTGGGTGTAGATGGTGGATTATGATGGTCATTTAACACGTGTCAACTTAGGGTTCCTTATCGGTAAATAAATGTGTTTGTATGTTTATTTCTGTGTATTTACTGCAGTGTTTATTTGTCTGATAAGGTGTTGAAAAAGTAATCGGTGATAGAAACACACTCTTAGGCACTGAACGTAACTAATTAGTGAGACTTATGGTGAAGGAGAGGGAAATAGTACCGTTTACTACTGTGGTTGGTCGTCAGTCATCTTTGTCACCCTCGCCTCACCTCTCATACATGTTGTGAGCTTGACGGTGATGGGTGACGCGGAGACTCCGGGGGACTCTTGTTGAACTACCTGTCTGGGGGCTTGTTCAAGATGTACAAGCTGCCGTCAACACAAAAAAATATTTAAAAATTAAAATAAAAAAGAGAGTACTTTGAAAGTTTATTTCATTAATCATATCCAAATTAAATTTAATGTAACGTAACCTAACTTAACCTGATCTCAACAGGAAGTTATTGTGAAGTTAGTGTGACTATCAACAGTAAATTATATGAGAAAACTTATCCTACTGCACCTACAGGAAGGAGACTCTGAATGGGTTCAGCGACGCCCAGGCGGCTGTAAGTACGCCCCGGGAGCTGTCGACGGATACCCCCGCCCCAGGAGCTCCACCCTCCTACGATGACGTCATCAGGGAGGACAGGTCCCGCTCACACGGTACCACTCCTACAGTCTCACGTGAACCTTATCCTCAGTGTTTGTGTTCTGTGTGATGAAGCTTCTTGTGGTCTTCGCCGTCCTAGGAGGAGGACCTTGGATGGCGTGCGTCTGTGTTCATAAATCCACCTGTGCGACCATCCATGTGTCTCTTTGTCTTGGAGTTGTGAACACAATAATTCACTCATGTAATAATGGACTTTAATCAAACTAAGTGTGTCGGTATATCACAACAAGTAAGGTCTTTAGTCGTTATTACCCTTGGACTTTGTTCTGAGGGTACCGGGAGGGGGGGCTCCATATATCATCTTATTGCATTGATAAAAAAGAACAACCAAGAAGTTGTCTACGGTGAAACCCGCGTAAACAGACCACCAGAGAGAGGACTGAGGCCAATAACACACTTTCATTTAAAGGACAGGTTACTGGATTGAAGTTAAACAATTAAATATAGTGACTGAATCATCGAACATAAAGAAATATAGAAAACTAATTTTAAACAGCCAGCCTTCAACTGTTATCCAGGTCATCATCATACAGCAGAACCGAACACTTTATAGTATACCTTTATAGCGTGGCCAAAACTACTGTACATTGATAACCAGGTTCATTATTTACAGTTGATTTAATGAATCTTCTCTCTCATCAGCCAGTCATTACTTATATTCCAACAACATGAAGGAGAGTTAAGATAAACAGTGGATAAGTTAAGGGTAAACAAATCCTTGCAAAGTTTGTCACCAAGCTGTAGTGTGGCCAGAACGACGTGTAAAGGCCTTACGATCCTTCAGCAGGAGAGTCGCTAGTGAGTGCATGGTAGAGAGTGTGGTGCAGGTTTGTACTGCACTCTTGTAAGTGTGTATAACGAGAAGGGTAAGTAGTTATGAATGTGTAAGGAATGGTGAATATATATGGAGCAACTTCAGTAATGGGTGGTGAACATACAGTATAGCGCGGTGTATGTGGTAATATACTACATGAGAGACACTTGGTGATGAAAGTGCCCGAGTTAAGACGTGTTTTCAGAAGGGGAAGTGAAGCATTAAGAGTGTGATTAAGGTGGGGGGGGAGGGATGAGATAAGATAGTGTTAAAGACATAGTGCTGAGGCGGTGTGATGATGATAATGCCAGAATTATTTGTTCTGTAAGAAATAAAATAAAGAGTTGGTTCACTACTTCAATATTACTAATTTGGTCTGTCTGTCATGGTCAGATGAGACGCCAACATTATCTGCACGACAGTCAGCGCAGCGCAGATCGGCGGCTGTGTACCGGGAACCACAGGTGTCATGGGGCGACCGCAGGCGGGATGCAAGGACGACCACTGTTTACCCCGCGTCTCAGGCATCTCTAATACTTCCTCCCCCACCCAGGACCACACGCCCAAGGTCCTCCTCATTCACCAGAGACCAGCGTGGGGTGGAAATACTAGTGGATGTGTCAGCGGACATGTCTCGCCCTCCCACCACGCCACAGTCGGCACCCATCACACTCCCCTTCCAGCCACTCGTCCCCACCAGAGTATCCCTACCAAGACCCAAGTCCTCATACCATCCCAGCCAAGACCTATTTGTTCCAGAAACGTCAACAAAACAACCAGAGGATAAATCAATCTCGCAGGCAACTTCCTCTCACAAGTCTTGTGAGTCACCAGCTGCTAAACCAAGAACTTGCAACAAGACGAGTGAAACATCCAGCGGTGACTCAGGATTATTCCCGTTGTACAGTGAAGTACTAGAGCACCAGGCCAAAGCCTTGCAGAAGATTGAAGAGCACCGTCGCACGGGAGTATCAACCAGGCCGGAGAAACCTAAAAGATCATGTTCCACAACCTGTCCTAGTTGGGGTTCACCTGGCAGTCTCTCTAAGACAATCACAGATCATGTCAATAAGGACGACGTAAACAAAACCTCACTGGCAGGTGGTGACTCTCCTGCCGGGACTAAAGGAGCTGCAGACTACATGACAAGGTTAACACCAGCTGTTTCTTCTAACTCAAATATTATTGATCCGTTTTTGACTGTGGACCCATTTCCACCTGTGGATCCAAACACAGAGAAAAATTATCCAGATTTTGCTAAAGGGAGTTCACTTACTTCCGCTGTACCAATTAATAGTGACGCTTCTTTAAATGCAATACCCAAAATCATTAAGACTGAGAATAAAGAAGATTCTCCCCAGACGCCCGTGAAGCCAACTGTAGGAGCAGCTACTGTGGGACCGGCTGGTGACGCTGGTGCCTCGGGTGATATTGTTTCTGCTGCAGCCAGGAAGGTGGGTCATGTACCTTCACGTCCCCCTCGAGATCTTTACCATGGTGGTTCAGATCCATTAGGAGAGTCCATATTGGACGCTTTAGACTTTGCCGTGACTCCAACTGCCAGTCACCAGAAGGTTTCACCCCAGAAATCCAAGGGTACCATGGCCTCACGGTGTTACTCTGAAGACACTTTATTGGATTGTTCTTACAACACTCTGGAGAACTTTATTGATTCCTCCAAAAGAATGGCTGGTAGTCGAGCTTCAATTATAGAAGAGTTCGATCCACTCGTATTACCGTCGCCCGGACAGGAAAGTTCTAGATCGTCTGTTAGGGAGAAAAACAAAAAGTATGCTGTTGAAACACCTGTGAAGGCAGAGGAAGTAATTTATGATGATCACGTAAAACCCAAGACAATAAAGTCAAAATTAGAGAAAGAGGAACACAAGGAAGACAATTCTATGAAGGCACAGCGGGGGGAGGAAGACAGCGACGTGTTCTTACCGGAAGAGGGCGCAGTGGCGGCCGACGGGTATCAGCACACTGACGCAGGAGTGGATGACTTACCTGGGTACTACGAAAGCGATGAAACGATAACGTCGCCCAACTATACCAGCGGGGTAGGCGAGTCATCCCTCTCTTCCACGGGGTCGTGTACGTCATGGCCAGCTGACTACATCAAGAACTCATCCTGGTCGCCACCGCCTGTCACACCGCCGTCAGCAGGCGCTTTAGGCGAGGACAACTATTCATCGTGGAGCTCCGATCATGAGGAACCTGACACGCCGCCGACAGGAGCTGGTGTGGGCCGCTCAGCCTTCTACCGCCCGCTCGCCTTCCACAAGGTAAGTCTCCCCTAGGAGGTGTTCCTGAGATTACTTTTACATTTACTTTTGTCCTCTGCACCACAGATCGGCTCGTTAGCCGCTTGGGCGATCGGTCACGTCTCTGTTACGCACTGTTGGCAAGTACTGGGCATGAATATCTCTTATCTCTCACCAGCTGGATGTAGGTCTCCCAAACATTTCTCCTCAGTTATCTGTCTTGAACCTTCACTGCATATAACATCATCAAGACATCATCTGTTTTGTTTAGTGGTTGATCTTTATGGTTATATTCGTATCTCATGGGAAGCTTTCTGTCCGCTGTCGTTTCAAATCTTTTTTCCTTTATCATATTATCTTGTTCTTTGAATATATTATATGGTGTGTGTGTGTGTGTGTGTGTGTGTGTGTGTGTGTGTGTGTGTGTGTGTGCGTGCATAATATTCAACAGAAAAAGACACTTTAAACACGACTGCCATGATGTGATATTCATTGTTATTAATTCATTTTCTTTGTTTAGTGGGAGCGATAATAACGTCATTAACACCTTGTACTGTACACCAGTTTCATTTTCACTATATTTATGACTTTTATACCAATAATATGTAAGATTTTAATTTTTGGTGTTAAGTTTTTGCACCAAAAAAGTGTAAGAGAATACGGTGCACCTGATAAAATTTTCTGTGTTGAGGGTGGTGGCAGCGGTAGATGGTCGACTGAGGGCGGGGCGATGGGTGTGATCGCCTACAGGGACTTGCTTAAGATCCGTGAAGGCGTCAAGATTTTCTTCATCCATAATGACGGTGTTGTCACCTCCCCCTGGAACCGTCCCTTCCTCGCCGCCTCTAAAGGTCGGTCATACTGTTCTGAGGTACACTTTGGTGACAGTCTTATACTTAATTGTTCCAAAAGGTTAATTATTATTTTTTGATTTATCCTCTTCACTTGTCACCTTATAAGCTCTATCCGGTCGATCAGTTCTCTGTCACACATATTAACTAACAAATTCTCTCACCACCTCCATCGTCAGGTATATGGTTGTAATTTATTTGACTGTTGAAATATTACCGTGTAGTCGCAATGTGATCAAATGTTCATTGATTCATTATGAATATGTATACATGTCAGATGTTCTTTTATTATGCCGGTATATTGGCTGTTGTCAACATAAGTGAACTAATTATACATACATTTGCTGAGGAAATCTATGTATATGCATATCAGTGGTATTTGCATGCATATCAAATGTTGGTGTGTAGAGGATAAGTGTACCAATACACGCCAGCTGTACATACCTACTTGTTTGTAGGTTATCTACGGTTGTCTCATTGCGCTGTGAATCATATCCAGTCTGCACCACCAGTCAACCAGACATATTGACCAAGCCTTTATTAATACGTATAGATACAAACTGTTCGTGGTTCGTGGGTGAGGGCGTGGTGTTGCGTGTGGGCAACAATCTGTGGTCGTGCCGGCTACACAGCAAGTCAACCCTTGTGTTACACACCTTATCTGGCGTCTACATGTTCAAAGACGCTGCTGGCAAACCTGACTGTGAGTACTTGTGTCTGCCCACCATTCACACTAGGCTCAAGTCTTGCCACTACATTATTTTCTCAATAAATCACTTAGGCGTACACTTTCCTGTGTGTTTGATTGAGTGGTAAGAATATAAAGGTATGAGGGGAGAGGTAATGGTCTGCGGGTTGCAGGCATGGCTGTGGGTGTACGGATACCGTCACAGGTGAGAAAGGTTCAGCACCAGCTCCTGGCAAACATCCTGAACGAGAACACACTCCTGGAGGACGAGCGACCCACAGGCATCACCAAGGGTAAGTCATCCCACTCTTCCTGTTTACTGCCCACCACTCATGACATGTCAGGGTCATTTATATTAAGGTCAGGGTTCACTAATACTTAGGTCATGGGTCACTAATTCTAAAGTCAAGGGTCACTAAAACTATAGATTACAGATTGCCCACGAGGGGCTAGTTTATTGGGCACCCCTTTACATCTTATAGTCATGGGTCACTGCTACTCAGGTCAAGGTTCACTAATATTAAGATCAGGGGTCTCTAATACTGAGGTCAAGGGTCACTAATATTAAGATCAGGGGTCTCTAATACTAAGGTCAAGGGTCACTAATATTAAGATCAGGGGTCTCAGATACTAAGGTCAAGGGTCACTAATATTAAGATCAGGGGTCTCTAATACTAAGGTCAAGGGTCACTAATATTAAGATCAGGGGTCTCTAATACTAAGGTCAAGGGTCACTAATATTAAGATCAGGGGTCTCAAATACTAAGGTCAAGGGTCACTAATATTAAGATCAGGGGTCTCAAATACTAAGGTCAAGGGTCACTAATATTAAGATCAGGGGTCTCAAATACTAAGGTCAAGGGTCACTAATATTAAGATCAGGGGTCTCAAGGTCAAGTCACTAATATTAAGATCAGGGGTCTCAAATACTAAGGTCAAGGGTCACTAATATTAAGATCAGGGGTCTCAAATACTAAGGTCAAGGGTCACTAATATTAAGATCAGGGGTCACTCAGTGGAAGAGAACTGTAGGTGTGGAAGTAGAGGAATAATTGGTGATGGAAATGTTTACTGTCTTATGGGGCATTGCCATGTTGATCTCTCGTGTGTGTGTGTGTGTGTGTGTGTGTGTATTTATATTGCCAAATTACATGTTCCTTATAGTGTTGATGGTGATAAGTACCTGGTGTCTGATAGTCTGTCATGTAGGTCTGTTGGGTTGTGTGTTATATTATGGAAGACTTATTTCTGGTGGTGTGTCAAGCTACTCTGTCATATGCCAATCTTAGTTTCACTATCAGTACTGTATTATAGACATCTAGAGTTGTTGTCGCAGAAAATATATTTAATTTATTCAACAAACAATAAGAAACCTAATTGAAAAAAAAATTAGTCTGGTTTTCCACAATGTAAGAACGTTGTGTTGCAGCCATCTCCCAGGGAGCATTGAGTGCAGCAACAAGAATGAACCAGTTTGTGGAGGAGAAGTCCATGACCACGAATAAAGCCTTCATCAGGAAGAACTCCATCAGGGCGCGTGAGTAATGGAGAGGATAGTTCTTTTTTTTTCTTTTTAACTGATTTAGGTAGTAGTCGTTTCACTCACATGTGGGGGATTGACTAATATTGATCTAATTAAAGCTTTTACATCTTTCAGTGAAGGGAGTGTCGAGACGTTTAAACAGAGTAGCAGAGCGTACAGGGAGCACTATGACGGTGAGTCTTGGGTGGGCAGCTGTGATGGACTTGTGCACCATTACATCTTTATATGTTACTTTACTCACAATTATCCAATCCCACACCGTGAATGTTCTCGAGCCTTCAGTTTTTGTTTGTGTCATGTGGCATCGAGACATGGATGAAACAGTCAACGTCAAGCTTGATGAAGTGTCATACTTTTATCAGTTTAATTTTTATTCCATTTCTGCAGTCATATCCCTGGGGTGAGGGTGTTAACCATAAATCACTATAGCAGGTGAGTTGCTTAGGTGGCATCTGGGAGGTTGCTGGTGTTGACTCTTTGGAAGGCATCCAGGAAAGCGTGCACTATTCTCCATTGTTGCTGTGCTTACGTTCAGTGCCACCGCCATTAAATATGCTGTTGCTTGTCACACGGTGTACAGGTGGCTGTGATCACATCACCTTTTCACCCCACGTACTGAGAGAGGCCCAGGTACTTGCAGCAATTTCTGCAGTCGTGAAGATTATTTCTGTGCATGTTTGTTCCAGGGAAAATAAGACTAGGGCTGGGGGTTCTTCCCACCAGGTGGGCTAGCTGGCGAGGGTCATTATAACAAATATATGTAATATAAATGAAACCAACGAATAAATTTTGAAAAAGTTTTAGTTGCTGTGTTATCGTCAGGCAGATGAACTAATTCAAAGCATTTTCTACAAGAATTAATGAGACCCAACTCTACAATATTAATTATTGGCAGTACGTAGTGTTCTAAACCTAATAAGTACTTAGTAGCTTAGTTGTAGAATGTTAATGATGAAAATAATATAATGTGTTATTAGTATATTACTGATCATCACAAAATTGTACTTTAGCTTTGGATCACATATATTTTTCACTGTTAGATGCTTATAGTGTACGTATTTACAGTATATGTACTGTATTATGTAATGTTATCTAGGAATGTATTGACACTGATAAAAAATCATATTAGTTGTGTTAATCTAAGAACATTTCTATCCACCAGGAGCTGCCGGCTGAGTATAACAAACTACAAGAAGCTGCAAACATGCTTCACTTCAGTCGCACCGCCAAAACAGTCCAGTATATTTGATTTTGAACTTCCAGTGATCTTTACACATTACGAGACATTCATACAACAATAATCTTTCTGGTCATTGGAGTGGAATCAGTTATAAAATATAAGTCAATGATAATAGTTGATAGTATTTGGAATACAGTCAAATTATGCTTCTAATTTACCATATGTAACACTTAAGAGGTTCACAACTGGAAAATAGTTCTTCCTTCAAGACCTTACTGTATATATCAGCATAAATATCATAGCAACTGTGTGAGAGTAGACTAAAATAATTTAGGTACTACATTGCATAAAAATAGGTGTGATATGATTATTAACATGATTCAACAAGTGATGTTTCCACATTGCTGTACTTGGTGCTAATGATTTTAACTCTTGATTACAAACATACTCATATTTCTTCACAAGTTCCAATGACAATGTTAACACAAAAGTAATCTAGCATTGAAACTCCTTCTTGTACAGATTTGGTGCTAATGTAAAATTTACACACATACTGTACAGTAGAGTACAATGAAACAGTTCAGTACAGTACAATGAAACCTTCATATAACATTATTTTCTCTCCATACAATCCAATAGATGGGAGTTTCACATCTAATGGACCTTGGACATAACAGACTTTCCTCTCCATATAATTCGTTGAATAGAGGTTTGCATGCTTGTCGTGCTTTTATTATTTAAAATGATTAAGTCGAGTGAAAACAACAAGTGGCAATACCTCTTATATGTATCTATCACTGTATGTATTACATGTATCATTTTGTATGTATGTATGTCTGCAGTATAGCTTGAAAATGGATAGAGTTGCAGAGTTTTTATGTAGCAAACATAATACACATTTACAGTCACCTTGATAATGACTGCAGTTGCTGTGTTAATTGACAAGAGTCATCACAACTTTGAGAAATTCCCTGTATGTACAGTATGTATGTCCACAGCGTACCTTAGACCCTTCAGTACGATGACTTAACCTCTTCAGTACGATGATTTAATCTCGAGTACGATGACTTAACCCCTGGAATATGATGACAATCTCTTGAGTACAATAACATAAGTTATCGTACTCATGGTATTAAAGATGTAAAGACCAGCAGTGTTCATACTTGGAATAAATGTAGCCCAAAGGGCTAGTAAGCTGATAAGTGGCAAAAATTATTAAAAAACAAAACAAAACAAAACAAGGTACTACTATATATATATTTCTTTCTGATCAAAAAGTCGGATTCACATCATTACAAAACTCAGTCATGTCAATATTGTTATTATTGTTCGCTCTGTATCTGTATTTTTCTGGATAAATAAACTGTTTCAATATCAAACAAAAAGCATCACCCCAAATTGCTATACTATTATCTACCAGCAGATATATTGTTTTGAAGCACCACATATTTACGTATCTACTGACATAAACTTCCAATTTTCAGACAAAATTACAGGTTGTGATTGATAGAAAATAAATTACCGTATATTTTTATTTTTTGTTACCTTTCAGTATTTTACGAGAATTTATATATTGGTGTGGGTATATCAGTCATAACAAGCTGCTGTCTTACCTAGGTGGATGAAGATTAAAGATTTGATCCCATTTGATTCATGGCTTAGTGAGGCTTTAGGGAGAAGGTCAAATACCATTTAGTATAGACACATGCTTTGACCCCCCTTAAAGCTACAAGACGAAATTGATATGCAAATTTTGTCGGTTTCACCGTACAATATTGTAATTGTGTGCTCCAGTTCTCTGTTGTGTTTTCATCTGCCAGTTTATTCCATAGTTGTGTCACCGCCACGTTCATCAGTACATGGTAGTGTCACCGTCAAGCACATCCCGTGGTTATCACTGGCATGTTCATAGCGTGATAGTAGAATATTAACAGTAAGAATAGTATCAAATTTTAATGGTAAATTATTGGTCGTCACAAAAATGTTAGAGGGATCACATTTACGGTATATTTTACTGTTAGAAACGATGAATCCTCCTCCCAAAATTCCGAATTGGATTTTCAACTGAACTCTTGTCTTTTCATACTGAGATAATCATACAAGATACAGTATTACCTGTAGTTGTTTTATAACAATAAGAAGCTTTCAACATGTTTTGCTTCAATTACATTTGTTAGTGTCTTCAAGTTTAGTTTCATTATTCTTATTTACCAGCAATTATATTGTTTGAAATAACACTTCACACTGCTCATACAGTGTACTTTTTTTTCCACCAATTTATATTTTATTTCTGGGCAATATATTAACTATCCCTTAACCAATTGGTTTTATGTTCAGTACTATGTACATGATTTAGTATTTAGTCTCAATTTGACAATGGCCTTTATAAATTCCTTTTTGATCTCACATGGATAAAGAAAATCTGGAAGCAATTCTCAAATATATTCGTCCCTTAAATCAACCTGGTAATACAATACACTAGGCTTCAAACACAACATAAAAGAGACAATTATCCCATTTTTTTTACATAAAATAATATCCTCTCATGTTGGAAGGCAGTATGTGATGTTCATAAACTATCAACATGTATTTATGAAAGTAAAAATTCCATACATCTAAACACAGTAGAGTAATACAATAAGTGTAGCTGGCAGGGTCTAGAAGAACACTTGTTAAAATATTATTAGATGGTTTAGTTGGACCAGTGTGTGCTTTTGAACCAACTGACTTCTAGTTTTCTAGGCAATGATATATTGTAAATTAAATAACTTATTTAGGATTTACAAATATTTGAGATCCATATTTTCAGAATCATCCATAGTGGAACATGACAAGTCTAATCAACACTTGTCATAATCCAGTGCATACAAAACCTGATCCAGACTTACTTTGTACATGACAGTGATTAATGCATGATTCAACTTGACATATACTGTACTGTATACATAATTATTCATCTACTTAGTAGATAATTCAGAAGAATTTAATAGACTACAGTATTATTAAGTTATTCAGACAAAGTGGGAAAGCCCTTCCAGTGTTATAGACTGTAAGGGTGACCAAATACAATGGCTGGATTAAGCCAACAAGACAGTTATTGGGTAATTCATCTAACAAAATCTTAACACTTCATCTCTTTTAAGTTCACAAGTTTACATCTGTGACTTGCTGTCACCTCAATAAACTTCCATGAATATCAATTAATTTACATTTGCTTCAAGATTACATTATACAGGATTACCAGTACAGTACATTTTACCGGACTAATTAGGACATTGAATTTACTGGGCATGTTTAAGTTTTATTGTGTAACTTCATAAAGTAAAAAAAAAAAAATCCACCATGACAGATATTTAGTAAACCTGTGCAGTACTGGTAACTCGTATACTGTATAAGTACAGTATGAATATAAGTTCACCACTGAATTATGTAATGTTTCAGAAAAGATATTTTCCTAGAAATCTATCTAGTACTGTACTGAATTTTGCAATCGAGCCATTTGTTCATCATAGACAATAGTACAGCTTCACTACAGAGCTTCCATATAGTTTATTCTGTTATGTTTGTTGGAATATCATTTCTAGACATGCAAGTGTCTGCTAATCTGATGTATGTACTGGACTACTGTAAGATTGTATTTCACTCTTACAACTTAAGGCAAAACTGTAAGGGCATCAACTATGACTGAAATTCAGAAGTATTCTTAATGAACAGGAATAAGAAATAATTTTGGGAAAGCTTTTTACAAAAAAAAAAGGTGTGCATCAAAAAATTAATGGTGCTTGCATGAAAATGGTTAAATCTGGTCAATACCAATAACTGTCTATCATTCGATTCTTCAAGACAGCAGAAAACCACCTCCCTCAAAAATAAAAAGCTCAGTCAGAAAAATATGCAGAAACGACACTTCAAAACCCTTTGGTTATATATATATATCAGGATAATACAATGTACCCATAACAGAAACTTCAGTACTGCCCACACCTAGTGAGGTTTCTTGGGCAGCACATCATGAAATGGTTATTCTGTGCTCTGAAGACTCACTAAAACATCTACATGAGAGGTTGTCTCAGCTTATCTTAAGAGCATGTGACAACCACAAATCTGATATGGTCACAACTTAAACTCCCCTGCTATGTGCACATACAGTACAGGCACTTGCAGAGGAATTAACGGCCTCATCCACCTCCAGCCATTGGTGGAGGACCTGCTCCTCCACTTCTATGTAGTCCACCCATTCTTCTGCGGGGAGGACCAGGGGGTCTGTAATACAATGTAATTTACAGTTACTTCCTATACACGACAGCATTAAGAATATAATTCCACTGAGTGATAGCTTGTTTGATAATACTCTACAGTTAATTCTAGAATACTGGAAAAAAGTTACAGTATGACTAGGACAACTATTACAGTCAGTAATATAAATCTCCAAACTTACAAAAAGCCCTTACCATACTACAGTATATTACACTCAAATAATGTCTAGCAATTTGGCATAATTCTATATTTCAATTACTCAGCAAAACAGCTGAAGGATGAGATTTTGTACTATGTTCCTTCTTTTTCACTTTCACTCTCAAAACATTTACACTCAAGATATGTGATTGGGTACTACTTGAAATTCACTTAGTAACTTCTCGACTGATTTATGTAATCTACCACTCTCCCTTTGTACTGGCTTCAACAACACACTTACAACTCTCATTAATTAAATATAAGTTTTTCACCTATTGAGACTTTTAACCTTCACATTTAAACATCAATCTAATTTTTTTCTGCATTCAAGCAAACAACACTTTCGTCCCAACATTTAATTTTATATACGCTAAGGTAAATTGGGGTTTAACATCTATACTGTACAAAAGAATTGGAACTATGAATCCACCAAAAAGTTTTCTTGCACATTCCATACTGTACTGTATTCACCAAGGCTTTTCTGTCACCCCAACTTGTTTTCCTGACATCATTCTTAACTTCTGCTCACTACAACTCAGCCACACATTACATCATCTGATCTCATCCCCATCTAATGTTTTGCACAAATTTAAAACATTAAATTAAGATAATGTTGCACAACCTTAATGCACAGGATCATTTAATAAAATTTTCTAATTCATAGTGTATCATAAATAACCTGGATTTAAAAAATTATCCTCTTTATTAATATACTGTATAACATTTGTAGCAGGTATTCTCTGCATTCATAATATCAGCATTTCAATTTATCACTTTCTTCATATATAAAACCAAATCATTCACTTCATAAGACCAGCAAGCACAGTACAGGTACAACTGGTCCACTACACCTTGATAGGTTATTAATGTATAATCGGTTCTTTTCCAGTCCTTTATCAGTAAATGTGTGAATATGCAGATTCCTCCATTCATCTTCCAAACAATACAGTATGTAAATACTGCACTTCAAATCTGAGAAAATTAAATTACTTACGGTCCTCTCCCAGGAGCACTGTAGTCACTGGCATAACTATTCCCTCGCTTTGTTAAATCTGGATTGACTAATGTCTGAAAGCTGAATGAAAAAAATAAAATTTCAATATAACATGATTAAAATAAAAGACATTATATCTAATTCTAAGCATCCTTGACACTGCTACCATAATAGAGGGGAAAATATCAAGCCCCTCGTTCATGCAGTCCTATGGTGTCAGGCCAGTGATGACAAACTAATGCAGCTAGTACAGTACAGTACCACAAAACCTCACAGAATTTGGAGCATAAAGTTAAAAATCATTAACTTTATCAACTTTCATAAGATACAGTACTGTACAGTGAGTTCTGCTATAACGCGAATTTGCTCTAACGCGATTTATGAATTAGGAACGATATTTGTATAACGCGAACGCTTGTTTGCTATAACGCGATTTTTGCTTACTATTTCTCCAATTTTGTGGTATTAATTGTGAATATGGTAAAGAAGAATATCTCCAAGAAGCGTTCTGGTGATAGAATTCCCGGTGATGATCGTAAAAGAAAGGATATAACACTTGAAGAGAAGCTCGATGTTATCAACCTCAAAATCACCCTTCTCCCCCATCAAGTTACATTCATATTTTTTCAAGGTAAAGTGTTACATTTACTGTATGATTTCATTATTAGATATGAATGTAACATTTATTTAGACTGTGCTATCCTTTGTGTTAGGCTAACTACTAAATTTTTTCGATTTCGAGTAATCTGCACCTAACCCTATTTTCTCCATAAGCCCTGTTATTTCTATTACGCGATTTTCTATAACACGATATTTTACAAGAACACAATTATCGCGTTATAGCAGAACTACCTGTACTGTTAAAGTAATTTATCCCTCCTGATGCTTCACTATAGCTGCATTGACTTCATATTGCTGATGAAATGCACTGAAACTACTGCTGGCTTGCATCAGGCACAGCCACAAACCCGCACATCAAACACAGCTAACAAACAATCAGTTTTATGAAACCAAACTGCCCTTAAATCTAGCTTATATAACCAGTTCAGTACTGAATATACATACAGTATTATTGTGTGTGTGTGTGAAAAGGGTGAGGCATCCTCCATCTATTTCACCTCAGCAGGAGGGTGTATCCATTCCCCTACCCCAAGTCTCTAATATCTTAGGCCACTCTGTGTCTCCCACCACCTCCTCCTTTCTACACACATATTGTACATCCATGTGGATTTATGATAATGTCTTGGATAATTTAATACCTTGTTAACTCGACAGATTGCCAATGAAGTTACATAATGCTCTAAGAAATTTTAAATCATTACTTACAATAAAACAATAAAGTTGATGAATCCCCAGAAGAGATTAGGAATTGTAGATAAGCCCCATTCTCTCTGGCCTCCTATGTTGCCACCTTAAAAAAAAAGTTAGGCCATTCAATTTATTCTTCCATGTGATGATATTCTTTCCTTTATACATTTATACACTGCAAACATCAATACATTAGTATCACAATTTTTATGTCCAAAACTGTTAGAGGAAGATGGCTAAACATAACCTTGCAATGCATGACATGTTTAGACTGTAGGAATGTTTCTTTTTTCCAGGAAGGAATTTTATTTTATTTAAAAAAAAAAAAAAAACTGTAGTAGTTTAGATTACAGTAGGTTTGGTAGATTAGGTTTCTTCATGTTATAGAATGTAGCAGTATGTAAAAAAATATATACCTGTATTAATTTAGAACAAAATAGAATAGAACTATAGTACCGCATTTTAGGTTAGGTTTAGTCATTTAATGAACAGCGAATTATAGAATGTATGAAACGAATCATCCTTCAATTGTAGAAAGTAAACATACCATACGTAAGGTAAGGTAAGAAAGCCTCTCATCTAGGGAAAAAAATTTTCAAGGTGGTGCAAAGGCTGGACAACTTTCATCAAATATTACCAAAGAATCACTCGTCATTTAAACAAAATTTGGTGAATTTATAGTTTTACACCGGTGTTTCTTTCACTGTTATTAATATGTACTGTATTTTGTAATGTTCAGACAATTCTAAGACATTTTTCTTCTATGATATGTCCACCAGAAATTAAGGATAAGCGAGATATTATTTTTTCAATATTATTAGGTTTGGTCAGTCACAAGCGTTGCCACGATTTGTTTACATCTCACGGATAAGGTCTGACCCCCCTCATGCAGTGCTCCTTACCTCCGTCTTCGCTTCTTAAGCGTCTACAGCGCATGTACAGGGGGTGGTGTAGGAGTTTCTTATTGGCTATAGCGTCAGGAGCGTAGATTTATTTTTCGGCACCAGATATGGCTGAAAAGGTGGAAGAGATGTGCCGACATTGTGATAGAGAATATTTTATGTCAACTGCCGAGTTTCATCAGAAAAATAGTGAGGCAATTTCTTTTCTTTTTTTAAACACGGCATATTTGTCCAAGGTGTAATAACTAGTGTACACTGTGTGAAGAACGACACATTTAGCGGTATCCAGTTTTCTTCAGCCGAACAGTAAGAAACGGAAGAGGTGCAACCCTGGTTTGGTTTGGTTAGGTTTTGTTGGTTGGTTGGTAATTTATTTATGTGATTTATTCGAGAAAAAATATCAAATTTTTCCGTTATGATTCGGGGGGGGGGGGATCCTAAAAGCTAGTGATTTCCGGAGGAAATGAATTTTAAATTTGTTCGAAACTCATCAAATAACATAGGAATAACATATTCTTAATATCAAAATAAAGACCGGTGCATTACTATAAATTGATCCCCAATTTGTAAAAGTTGTTGTTTCTTAGCAAATGTAAAACATATTATCAATGCCTATGGATCATTTCAGAAAAATGGTGTCATCATTGTCAGGTAGTGCAAAGCATATTTATTTATGGGAAACACGAAGGAAAAAATACTAACTGTGCAATGCCTCTCCCTGATTGTGATTATTTTCGAGGTATGTAATAAATTTTGTTAATACAGTACTGTACAGAAGAGACCATCTAAGGGAGAACAAAAATTAAATCGAACAACTCCTGGTGGTGGCGGTGTTCTCATACATTACCGTTTCTTGTTGCAAGAAAATTTTTATCTTTGGTAACTTTTGACAAATACACTGCCACTGATTTATTTTATAGAACACGAATTTAAAAATGCTGATGAAAATATAGTACTATAAACATCAAAACAAATAACGCGTCGGTGGTGTAGTCGTCAATATTAGTCTTATTATGGAGAAATTTCATAAGGTAGCCGCAAAGGCCAGACCACTTTCGCCAAGTATTACCAAATTTTTACCCCCCCACCCTCCCATGTCACAAAATCAAGTGATCTCGAAATTACAACTTTTCTTCGACACAATACCTTAACTTAGCTAGTACAGGCTCATAAAAATTATAAATTCTTACAAACTTTAGGAAAAAAGCTGATCCTAAAGTAATACCCCCATTGGGGTCCGACTAATTACCCAAATGTAGCCAAATATAGCCGGAATGAAGTCAAATAATGGTCCTAGATGAATAAATCGGACTGCCAATCACTTCTCGACTAGTATTTGGTGTCAGAAAGTCACAAAAAATTGGTAAACTTAATTTAATCTGAGTTAATAGATCAAGTGCATGTACCTAACCTAACCTAATCTAACCTAACCTAACCTAACCTAACACAACACAACTCAGATTAAATTAAGTTTACCAATTTTTTTTTACTTTATGACACCAAATACTAATCGAGAAGTGATTCACAGCCCGAATTACGCTTATACGACCATCATTTGACTTCATTCCGGCTATATTTGGGTACATTTGGGTAATTAGTCGGACCGCCCCCATTGTAATGTACTAACTTTGCTGTACAAGAATGAGACTCAACACTTCACCAAGACTGACACCCACACTTCACATGCAGCCGTAACTTTCTTGATATTCACCATAAACTTACCAGATGATATATAAGGCATAGTTCTAACTTTTGGTTATAGATGACCTCAGATATGGTTTAAGTCTTGATGAACTAGGCACTCATAGTCCCTGAGGAGTGAGCAACAGTCAGTAACACGTCATGTTTACAACTGCTATCAGTCAACACCCTCGCTAGCGGTCACTTCTTCTTCCCTTAATAAGTTAGTTACAAGATTATCTCGATTCTGATTGGTCAAAATATTGTGACATGTGTGTCTTAGCAGATTACTAATACTAAGAATTTTTTGAGACTTAAATATTAGCTATTGCTCATGTTGAATTGTAAATATAAAATATGCTAAGTTTAATTAAAAGTCTGAAAACATACAATGATAAATCAATTTAATGAAAGTTTATCTTCTCGTAACTATGGTTGTGAACCGGAGAACTGGTTATGAATCATGACAATTATCTTTTGCTGTCATCAAATATGTGTACTGTTTTTTTATTGTATTTAAATATATATTAATATGGTTTATTTGAAGATAGGCGTATAAAAAAGTTGTTGAGTACCATACTAATAAACCAAGACTGTTCCTGGGAACTATGAGTGTTGGTGATACAGAGGTCAACGGAGCCGAGTCGTCTGCAGCCCCCGCGTGAGGGACACCGACACTAACTCCACCTTAACTATTTTAAATAAGTAACTACACGAGGAAGACACGATGGGTAATATTCAAGCTGCTGGACCGGGGGTACTTGCACCACCACCACCACAACCTGCTCCACTCACCGTCACCCCTACACCCGAGGAGAAGAAGACCGAGGTTGTAGAAGGTGGCACAGAGAACCCAGGCACTATGGAAGACCTACACAAGAAATGCAAAGGTGAATTGATGTTACGTAATGAAAACAGCTGCAACTTTATTATTGTATGTACTTGTTAGCGTTAAGGTAAACAAACAATGATCCTGTGAAGAAGTCAACCTTAAGTTGTCTCCTCAGGTGCACCAGACCTCCTCAACACTTAATACATAATACCTAGAGGTAAATGTGAAACAATTTGTGCAACTCTTTATCCTTTTGATATGAGAGTCTCCCGGGTTATATAGTGGCAAGATGTTATCCTATAGTACCATAAAAACAACTCCGGTGGGAGAACTATGAATCTGTCAAGTATATACAGTACAGTATAGGGAATATATGGGTATACTGTACATGGAGAAAAACAAACGATATATATTGGTCTATTTATAGTAAAGGACATAATTCAGTATTTTTTGTTGTTGTCAGTGTTAAGTTTGGGTAAAATTAAGACGATTTTCATCTATGAGACTTTTGGCGCATTATACCCATAACTGAGATATCATGAATTGAACATCATCGGGGTTAATATTGACGAGTGACCCGCTGATGAGTTATTTGTTTTGGTGTATATATTGTTACCATACTCAATTTTCATCAGTGAGTACTGTTATGATAATCATATGTGCAAATGCTTTGTTTGGTAGATATTTAGGTGCTTAGGTGCCCACTACTTTGTCTTCTCGGCGTTAAAGCGACGGTTTTATGTTAAGGTTAAGTTGGATTGGGATGGGTTTAGTTAGGTTGTATTGGGTTAAAAAAACATTTGCACAATATACGACAGTGTCCTCTGTAGAACACAGTGAAATTGCCTTGTTTTTATAATTGTTTACTTTTCTAAATCGCCGGTGAGTCAGTCGTCACCAATATTAAAAAAACTACTAGAAAAATTTTAAGGTATTATTGCATTTGTTGCCACCAACCAAATCTCATGATTTATTCTCTGCAAACAGGAAGTTAGGCAAGGTTAGGTAGACTTAACGGAATTCCCTGGACTAGTAGTAACTTCATATAGATTCCAGTGCTCTATAATCCTCAGTGTGCAACAGGGGTTGATCCAGGAATATCGAAGGGGGAGGGGTCCAAGAAGTTGTGGGTGGGGGAACATGGCGAGCACAGTGACCCCACCCAGCTGGGGGGTTTTGGGGGGAGTGCTGTAAGCCTCACCCCCTTTTTATTTAAAATCTGACCAATATCATGGCCATTTTGAGGCACTTGATATTAGAAGATAATCTGAAGTCAATAGTACAGTCTCTCCTCGACTGACGACGGGTTTCGTCCCGATGACCAGGTCGTAAGTCGAATTGATCGTAAGTCGAAAAGGCGAAAATAATACATAGAAATTCTAAAATGGGTGTCTCTTTCTTCTCAGCACCACGAGAACTCTCACTTTTACGCTTGCCAGCCATTTTAAAGGGAATTACAAACAAAAATTTTGTCGGTACATAGCTCGATCACTAACGTCGGGACTCGAAGATATGTAATGTGAAAAATATTTTATACGACCATGGCCGTTGTATGTCCTGGTTGTCGTAAGTGGAGGAGAGACTGTAATTACTTTCAACTATACAATAATGCCAGAGTACAAGATTGCCTTAAAGAGAAAGTATTGGAATTTTCTGATGAAAAGGGGGGGTCCGTAACCCCAGGAACCCCCCCCCCCCGAGATCCTCCCTTGTGCAATGCTCATCAGCTGCTATATATATCCACTACATAGTGATAGGAGAATACTGCATGTTGAAGGTTATAAAACAATTGGTGCAGAGCACTTCTGGGAATGAGAGATTTCTGGTAACGGGACGACTCTTTCAAAGCCGAAAAAATCCCTCATCCCCGGAGTTTCCCAGGTACTGGAAAATGCACCTTATTTTCATCTCTCATACCCAGAAAAACTCCCCCATTCTTGGAATTTTCTAGGTATCAGGAAATTGTCTCTGAATTTTCCAGGAAATTAAAAATTTTCTGAGAAATTCCATTTCTGGCTATCGGAGAGTTCCGGGTTTGAGTGATTCTGGCTAACGGAGATGTTACTGTATTCATTTTCTTTGGCAAATGCTCAGTTTTCTAGATATAGGTGCATCGTCAGCTGTGATGTGACATGTAAACAATGTACCGTGAGGGCTAATATACGAGATGTGGCCATCAGTGGTTCGTTAATTATGAGGGTGTTTTTAGACTCAGTTTTGTACGCTGATTACTTTCAGTTAATTTTCTAGTGTAAATGCTTCGTTTTCTAGATACAGTAGTATAGACAAATCAAGATTCTGTATAGGTTTGGTTTGGTTAGTACATAATTTCAGCCATTTTTATACTTTTCCCAACAAAAAAAACATATCCTCTAGTAAAATCAATGAAAACTGGGTATTTTTAAACCCATTTTCAATAATTCCCAATTTTTTCAATGTCCTAATTTGCACCTGCTCAAGGCATCTATTTCCATATATGGTAAATATTTATTTAATATGTAATAGTGATTAGCTACCTCCAAGTATATGCTGCCATTGATTGATTTTGTGATACTTGATGTTTACAGATGTGTTTCCAGTAATGTTTGAAGGTGGAAAATTCATGTTGAACAAAGGACTGAGCAATCACTTCCAAGTTTCTCATACGATTAACTTCTCCACTGTACAGCCACCTGGTTACAGGTAAATTGTTTCAATTTTTTGTCACTGTTCAATTACCATATTTATTAATGAAAGTTAATTTTGAGTGTGTTAACACATTAATCTGTGTTTAAAGCTTTATGTATAGTGTACAGTACAGTACTCAATTACTGTAATCAGTATGAATGTATCTTGACACGACAGACTCTGCTAAATCTTTTATTATTTTTCTTAAGTCGAATTGTTTGGTGAATTTTTACATTTTCTGTTATGATGCTTACATTACTGTACTGTACAGTAATCATTTTAGGATTACAATACTTTATATGTGAATGAGACTCCTGGTTCATTGTGTTGGGCTTTAACAGATATTTTTGCTTGTACTGTACAGTACTAGAATTTGGATAATATTTTTAGGTCTAGTAGATTTTTTTATGCAGATTAAATCACTTAACTGATTTTAAAAGTAAGTGAAGCAGAATGTTAAGTACTGTACAAATATCTTCTGGCCATAGTTGCTCTTTCAGTTTTATGCAGTGTCTGAGGAAGTATAAATCTATAATACTTAAAATATGTACAGTATTGTGGCATTAGTACTTTGGCAGATTTCTAATGGATAATGCAGAATTTCTGAAGTGCAGCAGAAAGTGACAACTGTAAGTTGGACACACTGCTCTGGTCCAGGTGCTTTGTAATTGATGAATTAATGGCATGATCCATGAGTATAGTGTCGCTTATTAAATTGCCTTGATACAATACATCGCAGTCAGTGAGTTTATGACCCACTCAGTCTGGTATGCAATTTATTTATTTATATATTTATTTATTTAACATTTTTATAAATATTCTTTCATTAACAATGTCCTTTATTATTCTTGGGCTGTCATGCCATTTGTTTCATCCCAAACAGTTCTTATTGCCTTTCAGTCTTGTTTAACACATTCCTGAAGATTTTATGTTTTTTGAGTTGTAGTTTATTCTTAACCTCTTTGCTACAGGCATGCCACTTTTATATTTTATTTGTCTAATGCTAGACAATTTTATTCAGCTCAGAGGGGACCCCGTATAGAAGGGGTTAATACTTCTGCTCATTCAAAGCCTCTCTGACTTTCACTATGTTTCATTCTCTCTAAGAAGAGCCAGATTTTAAATTCACATCACAGGATTATGTGGCAATGAAAAATGAGTATCATAAGTATAATGTTTCTTAAATTATACTGTACAATAGTTGTAATGACATAAATGACAGCATGTTACCTTTGTTGTGTTTATTGATAACATGTTTTCAACTCATCAAACACTTGCTATAACTACAGCATTAAAACATCAAATTATACTTCTAGATTGACATTTTCCCCATGCATCTCTCTCAGTGGAAGAGGTGCCACTAAGCTGGATATATGTACACTGTAAAAAAAAAACTATCGTTACAATTCCTGCATGAAACTAACTGGACACTGCAAACGAAGTGTATCAAAAAGGCCCCTGAGGCATTCCTCTCATTGGTAGCCCTGCACGTGTATGGGTTCGGCCACACGTGCTCGAAACAAGTGATTGGCACTCTGAAACGAGTCAGAGTTAGTGCTGCCACACTAACGCAATTTGAAACTTGATCGGAACTCTATGCCTCATTTCTCCATGTCGAATGCACATTGTGAGCGGTGCTGTAGCAGCCTAGTACAGTACTGTTATTTACGTAATTAGTGCTTAAATCATATTATTTAAGATACATATTTCTATCATTGATATCTAGAGTGAGTTGATGAAAAATTTTTCACACTTAAATATTTTACCATACTGTAGTTCTGACCCATTTTAAACTTTAACATTTTGGCTGGAAAACACATAACCTTAAGGGTTTATGTGGTGTCATAAAGAAACGACACAGGTAGATACTGTAATACACTGTATTGTTTAGTTACAAAATCTATTTTTCAGGTTTGGTGCTACATTTGTGGGCACTCAGCAAGTGTCACCATCAGAAGCATATCCTGTTATGTTAGGTGATGTTGATCCTTCCGGTAACCTAAATGCCAATATCATACATCAATTGTTACCGAACCTTAGAGGAAAATTTGTAGCTCAAGTAAGTACTGTACAGTATTTAACACTTAATGTCTTACCTTGCATTCTAGAAAATTTTCAGAATTGTAGCTTTGTCATAAACTTAATAAATACCGTAGTGTGTAACATCCTGCAAAATACTGTACAGGCCAAGTAGGGCTACGTTACTGATGGCCTGTACTGTATTGTATTTACCTGCATAATGGATATTCTTCCTTCATTCCTTATCATATATTATTGACATAAAGCTGTGTGCATTCATCCTCTTACACAGTCATTATCTGGGTTGGACCTGCTCTTACCTTTATAACTTAAATATATCATGTTATAGCATATTGGTGATACTTTTTAAGATGTGATTCATGATCAGTCAGATTTATTTTGACCAAACATGCCAAGATTGGACTTCTCATTTAGGTGATTAGCTTATTTGTGTTAACAAACCATCAGAAAGACTATCCTATAATACCTCTTTTAAATAGAAAAATATACCCCTTTTTAATATCACATAAGAAAGAATATAATAACTGGATCTTTGACAATGTTGAATATGCCTTTAGCCATGATTGAGATGATAGCTCTTTATAAAGAAATAAGGATATTAGGTTTTCCTCGGTGAATAATTTAACCTACTGTATTTGTTGATGCTGATGAGTTTTCTGGTATTATTACCTTCTGGTCCAGCATCTGCCTTAGTACAAGATTAATCATGGGGACTTGTGACTTCACTCACTCTTTCACACTATGATACATAATTTTTTTCCACTGTTTACATTTTATTTGACATTTCTTGGAAAACACCAACTATGTTTCTTTACTTAACAACTCTTGTAACTTGCCATTTATCTTATAACTATGGCTAGATGTCTCTCCCTTTGTCTTGAAGGAATCATCTCATAAAGACTTAAGTCTTATTATGAAAGATGAACATTATTTATATAAATATGTACCTGTACTGGTAAGGCTTTATGTTACTTTTATCCTCTCCAGATTCAGCAGAGTAAATGGCAGGCCACACAAGTAACGATGGACTGGCGTGGTGCAGACTACACAGCATCTCTGACCTTGGGCAACATAGACATAATAAATGGGTCAGGTGTGGCTGTTACTCATTACTTGCAGCAAGTCACCAAAAAGCTAGCACTGGGGACAGAGTTAGCTTATCAGTATGGGTCACAGGTTCCCGGGGGCCATATTGCAGTGCACTCTATCGCTGGTAGATATACTGGTGAGTTATACAGTACAAGGAGTATTGTTGTACACATACAAACTCATACAAAACTTGTTGACATTGTTTTTAAAACACTCAAACCTGATCATGGTTACAAGGCACTCATGCTGATCAACCCCCAGCTGCTTGGTAACTCGCTGAGTACAGCTGTAACGAGAGCCAGCGCCAAGCTGCCGAGAGAGTGTGAGAGACTAAGGAAAATTTTACTTTTTTTCCACAGATCCTAAAACCCCATGTGGCAAAAATGAAAATTTCATATGAAATTTAAAAACCTTGAATGTGGTAACTGTAGGCTAAAAATGACAGTAGGTTTGTGTTCTTAGGTAGCTTGCCTCAAAAATCCCCCACCCTACAAGTTGAATAATTCAGGCCCCCACCCAATCTGTAATTTTGACCCAAACCCTCATAGTCAGGATGTAACCCAGCAGTGTGTCAGTCTGTTGTCTGGCATTCCAGTGTTAATATACAGTACTCTATTTGCGACTTGTGAAATGCTCATATACAGTATGTTTAGTGTGTAATCTATTGGGATCCTTCTGAAGATTTTAAAGACATCTAATTGAAACCAAGTCATTCAGATAGAGCAATTTTATGACTTCATTGTGATATAACCTTACTTTCTGAATCTAATTTACTCTTACACAACACAGCAGTTTGATTTCCCACTGGCCTGTCTTCAAGGCCCATTACCCAGGTATTCCCCATAGTAACAGTCAGATGTGAAAATTTGCTCACACAAGTTAATTTTGGTTAACAATATTTGTGAGGAGTAAAAGATTTCAAAAAGAATGCCAGTATGTAAGAACTTCAGTTTTGCAGTGTTCATTGTCAAGAGATATTTAGTGTATCAGTATGAATCTTATACAGTATACTGAAAATGGCCATTTGCTCTCCAACAGGTGACAGTTTTACAGCCTCAGGAACATTAGGTGGTGCTGGCATTCATCTGTGTTATTACCAAAAGGCTACAGAACAGTTGCAGTTTGGAGTTGAGTTGGAAACAAGTTTACGAATGCAGGAGTCTGTTGCTTCTATGGCATACCAGTTGGAAATTCCTAAAGCGAATACTGTATTTAGAGGTGAGAATTATACTAATGTATGAATTTGTGATTTTCAAATAAAAGAAAGATTTTATTGAACTCTTTGCCATCTTGCAAGCCATGGTTCTGTATGTACATAGGAAGAGTAGAATTGGAGAATTGATTTAATGATTTTTGATAATTTTATTCTTTGTTATATACTGTTTTCATTTCCATTAATTTTCAATGGGTGGCATATATTATTACTTCTGTTTGTGTATGAAGTATAACCTAACCTCTGTCTAGAAACCTGAGTCTTTTCAGTTCTGAAATTAGATATTACTGTTCAATTAGACAAAATTTTTATTTAATGCAGAATGTGTTTGTTTGTTAATTTATTTTTTTATCTTCATAAATATATATATATTTTAAATTTACTTGGATGTTATTTATTAATTGATAATTTTTACAGGAACTCTTGATTCTAACTGGACTGTTGGAGCGGTAATGGAGAAGAAACTAATGCCATTGCCTTTCACATTGGCTTTATCTGCCATGCTCAACCACCCTAAGAATCAGTTTAAGATTGGATGTGGTTTTATAATAGGCTAATGTAAGAGTGATGTGTATAGAATCTTGATTGATGTGGTCATTCCTGTGTCATGCTTTCCTGAGTCAATGAGCAGTTTAAGCTCTGTTGACAGGATATATGAATGGGTGAGTACCAAGTCTTAAATATTGTATAGGGATATTGGAATGTACATACAAATGTGGGAAATCCATTGCCATAATTTTCCTGTGCATCACTGGGGAGTTTTACTGTGACCAAGTACCATGTACTTACTAGAATAATAGTACAGTTATGAAAACTTAATGGTATTTTATTTCTTGGACAATAGTTTCCCCTACTGCACATTGTTGCTGGTTGGACCCATTATAGCTATGTTCATCCTGTATCATCCTTGGCAGTATCGCTGTGCCAGAATAGGATGATACTGGTAGTTGACTTGGATATTCTGTTATCATTCCTTATGAACAAAGGTCTCTTTTTAATGCTGTCAAAATGTGTGCTTGTTTCTTTTGAAAATTAATAGGTAATGCTTGAAGATCATTGCAGCATATGTGTACCATTTTATAGATAGGAATCTTAATGTGGGTAGCCATGCTATAGCAAAGATCAGACACTTATTTTATTTTGCCCTCACTATTGTGAATTATATTGCTTTGGCTGTCTGCCCATCTGTCCCGTATTCATTTTCGTGTACTGTACTAAAAAGATATTGGCTGGATGATCGACTGTCTGTTTGGTGTGTAATTATGTTTCGTGAAACTACAGGTCTTTTTGGTTCTGGGCAAACTTGATGAATCATTTCATGTGCTATGTCCTTTTTCAAAAAAAATTACTTTGTGGGGGCATATGTGTACTGCATTACAATTATTATTATTTTTTCAATATTATTGAATGGAAAGATTGATGTCATAAAGTGAAGTTGATATCTTGATTTTGTAGTTCAAGAATATAGTAACAAATGAAATTTCTAGACTAATTTTGTTTTGCTAAAAACGAGTAGAAGTTTCCTGCGATAGAAATGCAGTGGCTATTCCAGTTTTATGACCTTTGCAAGCAACAGATACTGGCACTTCTTGCATTACATCGGGTGTGGGAATTAAAACTGGTTTCAAAGTACAGTATCGGATTCATGGCATCATAACTAATGATCTTGTTTTTTCTTTTAATACTATGGTAATATATATATATATATATATATATATAAAACTTAATTTAATGTAACATTTCTTTTTTAAATTTTAATGTGTGAAAATGATTTTTAGACAACAGAATCATTACCATATTGCTGTACAAGTGAAGAGGTGCAGTTGAGTGTTAATTACTTGAAGGAAAGTGTATGCCCTAGATATTTGAAGGTCCTAATGTGGGTAAGAAATGTTATTTGATAATCTGTACACCAGTCATTATCAGATCGATCCAGTCTAAAAGCCTGTGAATGCATGTCAGCCTTTTTTTTTCACACAGCTGATAGCATCAATTCAGTTCTTCCTATTATCTCTATTAAAGCAGTAAATTATTAATATTCACCGAATTGGTTCTTTATATTATTTAAGGATGATCATTTTGGATTAAAATATAACATTCATATTTTTTTATATTGGAATATCTACCATAAAGTAACTAATTAGGGGGCTCTAAAGGGCTTGCTCTTATTTGCTGCTACATTGTACTAGTCTGTATTATGGCCACAGAGAATTTATATTAATGAACTGTACTCTTATGATTTTGCATTACCTCCCATTGTAGATAACCGTGAATATAAGTAACAGATTGTTGGAGTTGTTTTGATAATTGTTACCATGTACAAAACAGATGGTTCTTTTAACATTTTTGCATTTTATTTATGCCTGTAAATGGTAGAAAGGTAATTACAGGGAACTTGGCAAGTTTCATCTCATTAGTTCCAAGAAAAACAAGGCTAGAAGCAATATACAGCATGCCCTTACAACTCGCAGATTTTTAATTTGTGGTATCCAATTATTCGGGGATGACACCCTGGATGTACCCAAGAATGTCTGCGGGTAGTTTTAAAGTTGGCGGCACGGCACTTTCATGGCCAGGACGGGAAGCCCGTTAGTTTTATGTCGTTCCTCAAGGTGTCTCTCTTGTCCCAGGTGGCTGGGCCATGTGCGCTCACTCCACCTCAGTGACAGTCTGGGTTAAATACTTGTCCATTTCGTGCGTGTGCTACTCTGCTCCTTGTGCTTGTGATGGCTACCAAACGCACCTCATCCAGGTGCGGGAAGGTGCCCAAGCAAGTGAAGAGAGAAAAGGTCACGTATTTCTCCCATACGTAGGCTTGGTAATGGGAGCGGTTAAGGGGAGTGAGTGACTGCTAGTTAGCGCATTGTTTGCAGTTGTAACTCTCCTAACTCCTTGCCATATTTCACTGGATTTACTGTTATTATTAGTGTTTACTGATAGAATAATGATTAATCATGGCATTGTAGCTAGGTTAGCTCATCATTGTAACCACCAGGCTACAATTACATGCACACACCATCCTTAATACATATTGTGAAAAAAGGTAAAAGAAATAATTGTCCTAAGGGCAAACACATAATGGGAGGGGAGCGCAGAGTGTAGCTTGTGGGGAGTGTTGCTAGGGAATCGGTGTCCCAGCTAATCTTTGTTACTATGGTGGAGCAGGAAGTGTATGAAAATGGTGACTGTGTTAAACTTTCATTTGTCTTATTTACTGGTTTGGCAATAGTATTTTTTGTTGTAACTTATTTATTGGTATTATTTTTATTTGTAACACATTTCCTGGTATAATACTGTATTTATTATTAAAAAAAAAACTATGGCTATGAGGTGTTATGGTTGTTTTTCAATTTGTATTTTTGGGTAGATATATGTAACTTTCTTCATTCATTTTTACTCACATGCACGCACCATCCTACATACATGTTATGAAAAGAGTACAGTATTACACAACAATTACCGTTATCCTTTAAGTTGGGTTGGCTAGATGGCTACAAATAAATTTTGTAAGTTTGATTTACATAGCAACCAAGCTGGCGCTCAGATGCCATTCGTTCTAGACTAATTTTTACGGGGAAAAAATTGCCATATGGCAACCCAACTTTAATAACAAAGCATGGAGTTGACTTGAGGGTAGACTAGCATTTTTCTACATTTTGTTGTCTAGTTTTTTTTATTTGTGAGGGGATTTAGCCTTTATTATTTATTTATATGTGTTTTGTGTGTGTGTGTGTGTGGCTACACACACACACACACACACACGTATACAGTACAGGGTACAGGTAATAATATCATAAGGGCAAACACGTAAAGGGAATATACATTTATTTGCGCACGAGTAAAAAATGTAACACCCCCCCCCCCGGTCAGCAAATGATATTCCCAGCCATTTTGATAACCAAACCCCTGCGAATTAAGGGCATGCGGTACTGTATTATTGAATGAACAGATTTTAAGGTGGTGTTCTGTCTTACTGTACAAATGTAAGAGTTAAACAGTTGTGTAGTCTTGGGAGGAATGATATATTAGAAGATTATTGGATTTCTGTAGAATATGTTTGGATCGGACCAAAGATTTCTTTAAAGTTGATCTTGGTCACATGGTTCCTATGTCCAAAAGGAGTTCCCATTTATGTTGGTTGCAGCAGTTTATTGAGTTGTGTAGATGCTCAGAAGGTAAAGGGTATGTGCCATGAAAGAGCATTTGGAGGGGGGGGGACAGATTTGATGCTAATAGTGAAATATTACATCATTTGTCTAAATGTTATGGATGGAAATCTAGTCAGTTCAACTTTGCAATTTCTTTGCTTGCATGCAATGGTATCTTATCTGGTAGTTATAACTAATAAGCATTTTGCATCTGCTTATAGCTATACTTTGTGTAAATTGGACAAAATCCAGAGAACAGAAAAATGCTTGGAAGCGGAGAATTGACAATTAAACAGTGATAAAGAGGGAATCTAGACATCAAAAGATATTGTAAATATTCTAGGTTTAAGTTTAACCTGTGATAGAACTGTAGGGGGACAATCATTTGGAGGTTGCTGATAAGCACGTTTGTAAAGAAGCACCAAAATGTTTTGTCATCTGACTGAAGTACCTTATGGTGAAAGAGGGTCCTGTAAATGTGATGCCCACTTGGACACTGTAGATACAGTACACTTATGATATATGATATGCCTTTGGTATATACAAAGGTAGTATGGCTGCCACTGTGTTTGCTTTAACAATCAATGCATGCTGAAACAAGTACAGTACTGTATGTCATGACACTAAGATAAGACAACTGCCCATTATCTTCTGGTGAATATTTAGTGTTAAACATGGGGGAAAAAAATCTGGAGCCAACAAGGGCTGTAGCTGTCTTATTGTATATTTTTTTAATAATATGACAAGCATCACTCAAATTTACTGAGTGTAACGAAACTTCTTAGTTTATCACTGCCGTACTGTACAAGTGCACTCACATGACATAACCTCCAGAGGGTACTGTATCTGAAAATCACAATAAAAATGTAAGCTTTAAATTTCCTAGGAGATTGTGGATGTAATGTGAAAGTCTATTAACCCAGTAGGGGTCATTTGAAAACTTTCACCCAGCTCATGCAGAGGCCTGCCCTTACAAATAAAAAACAGCTGCAGTATATGGACTGAGGAACAGTATTTGTGAGTAAGGCTAATAAACTCTTGTGCTGACACAGGTAGTAGGCAGCTACCAGAGAGGTACTACCACCTGGGAAGATATTGGAAGCATAATGTGTTGTCTAATGGTAGACCCTGCTGCCATATGGCATCACAAAAATTTTGACCAAGTCTCAGGTTGCTGATCTTTGACTTTCTGCCTCATTTAAACACAATTGTAGGGTCTCAATTGTTTCTTTTGACACCACAACATACATATTGTTTCTCACTCTTCATTTGTTTAATTTTATTCCATTTCCGTGTATTATCACCACCAAATCATAATTTCAGTGATGGCTTTGCTTTAGCCAGAGCAGATTAGCACTATATCCACTGCCTTTCCACCCTCCTCCTCCCTTCCCCACCGACTGCATCTCACCAACACTCTGCCTCTCATTCATTCTATTATGAGTCATGATACAATATTGGACAGTACTGTACAGTGTTTATTTGTTATTCATTAATTAGTAAATATATGTTACTAGTATTATATCATGAAGTGTACCTACACATTATTGGGGGCATATTTTGGTCAGTTAAGGGATGCATCTTTGGGGTCATGGGACAAAACTAATTTTTCCCATTTGTACGGTTTTGCTTATCACATTAGTTTTCTGGAACCTAACCTCCCTCCCCCCGATTATTGAGGATACGTGCATTAAAATAAATCCACACTAAATTATAAAAAGATTAACTAAAGATAAAAATAAAAGAAACTTTGTATGACACATGTTGATTTGTAAATCTTTCTACTGAGATTAATCAATAACTGATTCTCAAAGTTATGGCTGTCCAATCGGGATCTTTTATCCTGTGTCCCGTGATTAGATTAAAACTTGTTTAGAGCATGTTACAAGTAAAATTTTTTGACCGTAGATCCTTAATCAGTGTGTCGAGGACGACTTACAATGACATTCCAAGCAAATTTAATTACAGATCTGTTGTAAAAATATGAAATTCTAATAATTAAGTGTCCTCGTATCAATTAGCATAATTAATTGTCAAAACTCCATAATCAAAGGTACTGGTAAGATATCAAAATTTCAATACTTTGACCAGATCCTCATTCAGCGTGTTGAGGACAACCTATCATGAGACTTTGACCAAAATTATTTTTTTAACCCCCCCAAAAATAATCCTGGGGTATGCCTTGTAATTTTTTTTGTAAAAAGCTAATAAAATTTTCTCAAAATCTCAGTACAGGTTGTTTTTGGCATGAAAATTAACGATCTGTATTCATAAAGTTGAAATTCTGATTATTAATTGTCCTCATATCAATAAGCATTATTATCAAAACTTCATTATCTAGGGCAGGGGTCACCAAACTTTTTTCACAGTGGGCCGGATAACTGAAAGAATGACGAGCGCGGGCCGCATAATATTTAAATTTAAATTGTATCACAACGTCTCGTGTTCCATACGTTTTATCAAGCAAATTCAAGTACCGTCGGCGGGCCGGATCCGGCCCGCGGGCCGTAGTTTGGTGACCCCTGATCTAGGGTATGGTGCATCCCCGGTTTTCGCAGAATTTTTATTTGTGGTTTCGACTTCGCGGATTTTCATCAGAAATATATTTTCATTGTAACAGATACAGGTATTACCGATTTCATATGCGGCTGAAGTGCGCTCACGAATGAGTTTCCGCAAGAAACCGCCAGGCGTCACTACCACAACTTCTCGCCTCTCGTGTCTCCCACCATACTTTGTATACATCTTGCTGCAACCCGTGTGTTTTGTGCTCGAAAATCCCATCGTGGCTCCAAAACGTCCTTCTAAATGTGGTGACAAGGGCGGTAATGCACCAAAGAAGCCTATGAAAGATAGAAAAGGACTTTAATCGAGAAAAAAAAATTTAGAGCAGCATGAGCTACGGCATATGGGATGAACGAATCCACAGTTCCCTACATAAAAAAAGAAAGACATCATCGATGCAGTAACTGCTAGTGCACTAGCAGTAGCAAAGGTGACACAACGTGAGAGATTTGGCACTGATAAAAATGGAGAAAGCTGTGATGTACCAGGGGGAGGATCAAGAGGACCGAACAACATAACTGGGCTAGTGAGTATAGTATTCCATGTGTGTTGTATTTTTTGGGGTGAATTTTCGATCTTGCACCGACATTTCTCACTGTTATTAATATGTTTTTCATAATGTTTAGACAATTCTAAGACCTTTTTTTCTTTTGTGATGTTTCTGCCGGAAATTAAGGATAACCGAGATATTAATTTTTCAATATTATTAGATTTGGTCATGCACAAAGTGTCGCCATTTGTTGTTTACGTCTGAGAAAGTCTGACCACCCATCACGCAGTGCTCCTTACCTCCGTGTTGGCTTCTTAAGCATATACAGCGCATGTGCAGGGATGGTATGGGAGTTTCTTATTGGCTATAGCGATAAGAGACTTATAATTGGGCAAGAATTTTTTGTCTTAGCCAATGAACAATGCGTGGGTGCGTTGGGAGCGGAGATTTGTTTTTCAGTACCAGAATAACCAGATATGGTTGAACAGGTGGAAAGAACTGTGCCGACATTGTGATCGAGATTATTTTACGTCAATTGCAGAGTTTCATCAGAAAAATAGTGTTAGGTTTGGTTTTCTATTTATGTGATTTACAAGGAAAAAAAATATATTTTCGTTAAGATTGATGGATGGGGGGGGGGGGCTCTCAAAAACTATTGATTTCTGGCTGAAATGAATATCAAATTCGTTAGAAACTCATCAAATAACATCGGAAAAACATATTTTTAATATCCAAACAAAGACAGGTGCATTTGTGAAAATTTTCCTTTTTTTTTTAGGTACAAGAATGTGTAAAATAATTTATATTCATATTTGTGTCTTTATTATATTGTCTTTACATTTTACTTAATGATATGTGAGAGGGAGAGAGCTTTACAGTTCATGAGAAACATGTTTAGGGCCATACAAGTGATCAGGAATATTACATGGTGAGTGAAAATCCTGAAAAGAGAAAAAGAGAATTTGCAGTTTGGCTCTTTCGTGGTAATACCAGGAACATAACCCCTGCGAAAAATGAGTGACCGCTGTATTTGCAAGACAAAAATTTGCTGTATTGCTCTTTGGTGTAACTGGCAAGCAGATTCCTGAAGTACACCTGTGTCGGAATTTTTTTTATGATACAGTACTGTACTTATCTTTTGTGATATAAAACCCAAATGGTTGCTTTTTAATGTCATACACAGTTGAGCTCCCAACACTTTATAGTTCACACAGTTTCATAATGGATGTACAGTCAACAATTTTAATTTCTTCTTCCCTTTGTCACTAACCAATGAGCTTGCAGGCCACTTAGGAGCCATGGTTCAATAGATATTCAGCTTCAAAACATGCGGCAGCCATGGCAGTCTGTTGGGATAAACATAAACATGACCGCAGCGTCAGTGAAAGTGAAACAGTGTGCAGGAGAAGTTCACAGTCTTGCCCGCCAATTTAAATTTTTCTACATATGCCGATAATGCTGTTAAATATACCTGTACAGTCAACCCTCGCTTTACGCGGTCCCACATTCCGCGTTTCCACGTTTACGCGGTACCCTGCCGAAACCGGAATGCTCACATTCCGCGGTGCGTGTACCCCTTTACGCGGAGAGCGGCTGGCGAGCCGCGCCATTTTTGGATCCAAACCTCCCGCCATCCGCCATGTTGTGTAAGCGGCGCGAGCAGGGTGCGCACATGGTCGCCCAGTCATCAAAACATTACCGAGTTCTTCACCCGCCACCCACCACAGCTGGCCCAAGTCAGTGATAGTGATAATTATAGTGAGGATATGGACTTATATGGACTTTGACAAAGAGGCCCTGCAAGCCTCTGTGGTGGATAGTGATACAATTGATACAAGTGATACAGGTGAGGGCCAATAATCTGCCCTCTGCCTTGGAACCACCCCCCCAGCCCCGTGTGCCCAGTCATCTTTTCTACTAATGTGAGTGTTAAAAAACCTAATATTATTGATATTTCTCTTAATTATGAATTGTGTGTGCATACCATCATAAAATTAAGAAGTTATTTTTACTACAACGTAAGTATTGTGTCTGAAAAAGTGGAGTTTGGGGGTCGGCCGGTCTCTATTTCAATTGATCCCATATGTTATGTTGTTCACTTTACGCGTTTCTCACTTTCCGTGGTACCCTGTGGGTTGAATTAACCGCGTAAAGTGAGGGTTCACTGTATATATTTTTACAAATTTTGCCATTACATGGGTTGCTGTTAAATTCAAACACAACCTGCTTACAATGATTTTTTTTAACAAACTAATATTATTACACAATGACTACAAGGAATTACAATCCACCCTTTCTTTCATGTAAGAATAAATAATATTCATTGCCAGTTTCTTGGACAGGGATAAGTATGACCAAGATGGAGAATTGTCAACACTTAGAAGG